GTTCTTTTCCCTATCCAGTAGGTATTCAGTCAATATTAAGTCAAAATGTATTTTAAAAACTATATGAATAAGGAAGCTTTTTTTGTTTTAAAAAAAACACCATTCAAAATAAGTTACATGTATCACCATTTGCCCCTTGAATAATGCAAATTAAAATTAGTACTGGGTTCGACGTGTGACTATGCGTGTTATTCGAGCACGTGGAGTAAGAAACAACACCTTTTTTCAGCGACTCTACAGCAGATAGTCTAATCATTTCACACATAGGGGACAAAAAAATGAAGGAAGACAAAAAGAGCATCGAATATCTGTTTGATTTTGTGTATATACATCATGATGTAAATGTTTTGAAAATTTTTAAATTATTTTAGTTAAATGTAATTGATCGTTTATAATTTATGAGAAAATATAGAGATTAAAATTGAAATGCTTTGCTTTATCCCGACAAAAACTAGTTCTAGTAGAACTAAATTAGTACAAATAGAAAACAATATATTATTACAACAAAGAAGGAATTGACAATCAGGGTGTTTCCAGAATCCTGTCCCAAAATATGAGGTCCTTATTTTGCACAATGATAAATTATTGTCAAAATAACAACAATATGTTTTCACATACCTGGTATTCATTTTCGGGAATATATCATTGATATTAAAACATGATAGATGTTTAAGTCATTATTGTTTATGATTTTTAAATACACATTAAAAAGTTGGGATTCATTTTTTTTTTCAAAAATAAATCTTTATAGATATTTTTAAGTTACTCTGTACATCTACAAACGAAAAAGGAGGAAAAAAAACGTCTTAATAATTATGTGCATTGATTTAAAAAAAAAAGAAAGAAAAGAAAAGAATAGAAGACTAATGCTCAGATGACTATTTTTTCAAGGAAGATTTTTCAATTTATGTACTTATGTCATCAACATAGGTATTCAGAGACAAAAGGTTACCGGCCCCAAAACATCATGTTCAAATTGAATACATTTTAAATTGACAGTTAACATGTCTCTAATTATTATATCAATGGTTTGAAATGCATGTCTTAAGGTAAAGATCTAGTAATAACTTTAAACTATTTTGTGAATTGGATCCATTATGACGTCATGATCAATTGCAACTTTCTTTTTCTTTTACTTTACGACTTTATGTACAAAATAGGGTATTTCATGGCATTCAATTTGAAAGCATATGAAAAGTAATTCCGATACCTATATTAAAGGAGTGTATATGATAAGAGCCAATTTTGGCCCCCTAAAAATTAACATTTTAGAATGACATTCAAATATGTTTAATTGATATTTATTTTGTAGAAGAGAGTATATTTGAAATATTTCCAATAAATTTTTCACATTTATATGCACTCACTAGCTGTATATGACATGAGAAATAATTCTATTTTTGATATCTAACAAGAAAGCCAGAAATATGCCTTTTTCTTGATGTTTTTTCTGATGCGAAACATAGAGCGCAGTGTAGAACATACGTAATTTTTCTGTCACTAATTAGTATTTGATAGATACATCTTTGGTAGAAATATAAATCTTGTTCTAGGGCGCGCTCTATATTTTCTGGAAGAAAAACTGCTTGAAAATAAGCAGTTTTATACAAAATATGCAAAAATGGCGGGAAAACGTTATTTTTATGATGTCATATTTCTAAAATAACGGCAGTTTGATCAAAATGAAAATGACCAACAAAGGTCGCATATATAGCTATACAAATTAAAGCTATATATAAAGTACAATTAAGATATTCATTTTAAGGGGCCAATCGAGACACTTAGCATATATCGCTCTTTGATATTATTTTGAAGAAGAGGCCAAACCTACAAATTACCGTTTTCTGAGAGACTGAAGGCAATCAGGGTACATAAAAAGCACAGAGTCCGACACTTCTGTTTCATACTTGGATATTTTACTTGAAAAAGACACTAATGGTAATCTAACAACCAAGCTATATGATAAACGTGATGACTTTTAAACTTTTCTATCGTCAACCTCCCTTACTTATGCAGCAATATACCTTCATCACCTGCATACGGAGTATATATATCTCAGTTGATTCGATACGCAAGAGCATGCTCTACATACGAACAATTTCTAAAACGAGGTAAATTATTGACAAGCAAGTTAACGAAACAAGAATATCAACAGTCTCGTTTAAAGACATCATTGCGTAAGTTCTATGGTCGATACAATGACCTTGTCAGCAAATACAGTTTATCATTGAGTCAAATGCTGACTGACGTTTTCCATACCAATTGTTAGTCCATTATTTATACACTGAATTGATGACGGATTTTTTCCGTTATTTCCTGATGATGACAAGGAGCACAAGGCGGGTGTGACCGGTCGGCAGGGGATGCTCACTCCTCCATGGCACCTGATCCCACCTCTAATGTCTTCGGGGTCCGTGTTTGCTCTGCTCTTATTTTGTATTGTTTAATGGACTTTGAGATTGAATACTGTTCGTTATTTCCATATCCTTTTTTTGTCGAATTTGAAAAAAAGTCACATATTAATGACTGGTTTTCTTAATATTTCATCGAAATTGACAGTTTTAAATATGGTTTTTCATCTTTTCTACAAATTATGTATTGAAACACCTTTTTTGACCAAGCTAAAGTTGCAAAGAATCTTCAAGTTAATTTATCTTTGAAATTTTATAAATCTGTAATCTTCTTTCATTTACTAGATCTTGACCTTAAAAAGTTAATTATACAATTTCAATTAAACATTATTAGTGATAAAACTACATGATCTAGTTCATCAAATTAGCTTTCTTCCGCAAAATTTCCATAGGATGAATGACTTTTACTATAAAAAAAAAATATTTATTTAGTTTTACTGATTTTGGTATAATTATTGAGGCACCAAGACTTTTTAAAAAAAATATACATTTAACTATTCAACTTTTTAAGTCTTGTCATACCAACGCGTGTTTTGCTGAAGTCAGCATGTTTCGTTGACCTAAATGTATACACAAGATATGCATAAAATAACATCTATTTGGCTCGACACTATATAAACGTATATTCTGTCAAACAAGATAACCTCTTTGGACAGACGCTTGTCGTATTGTGACCACAACTGATTTCTGGTCATTTTATATACATAAAATAAGTGATACTTAATACATAAAAGCTGTATTATATCCTGAATTTTATTTCCATAATAATACGTTTGTGGTTAAACCACAATTAAGAATGATATTTTGATTCGGCTCATTTAACAGTGGTTAGTTGAGGAACATATTTGTATGTATGTATAATCAGTAAATGAATGAAATAAGCGTGAAATTGATCTGTTTTCTCATTCGAAATTTCTTTTAAAATATATATAAAGTGAGCTGTACATACTTTCCAAAATAATGGTATATTGAAATATTGTAGAGATTTGAAATATTCATCGCATTAAACAAAAGCAATTCCATCAATATACACGAATCAATAAACTCAATTCGTCGCTTAATTGTTTTATACTTCATCCTTAAAGAACAATTTACTACAAGAAAGGCATTATTTGCAAAATAAAGAATTATTAAAAAAGAAATGTACATAATCAAATTAAAGAATAAAAAAAATCAAATGCTTTCAAATGTAAGAAGGATATGGAGGTAACAATCAGTATTCAATATCAAAGTCTATCAAAAGTACAAGATAGGAGCAGAGCAAACACGGACCTCCAAAACATCAGAGGTGGAATCAGGTACCATGGAGGAGTGAGCATCCCCTGCCGACCGGTCACAGCCGCCGTGTGCTCCTTGTCATGATCGGGAAATAACGGGAAAAATCCGTCGTCAATTTAGTGTAAAAATAATGGACTAACAATAAGTATTAAACACGTCGGTCAGCATTTGACTCAATGATAAATTGTACTTGTTGACAAGGTCATTTTATCCTATGTTTAACCCTTTATCCCGTTGATATAGCTCATGTGATATCGTTTTCGTATCACACAGTTGTGACGTCACAATGGGTTTTGCGTTAGGTTTATGAAGTAAAATGAAGTGGAATCCTATATAAAAACAGTACTAAACATTATTTGTTGTGTAAAAAACATTTGTTAAAAAGGATCTCACATGATTTGTAGTTAGATATATTTTTATCCAACGAGTTGTGTGTGTTTTTATCCCTTCGCCAAGGCTCGGGAATAAAAACCACACAACTCGTTGGATAAAAATCATATCCAACTTCATAACATGTGAGATCCTATATGTATCGACCTTAGAACATAGCACAGCGTAAACTTATGGACATCACCATCATGTAGAAGGTACTGTCACTCTTTCAAGGTACTAGTAATCGAAAATAGAAAAAAAAATAAAACATCTGTTGCGTTTATGTGTGAAATGAAACAAAGTTATCTGTAGTTATGATATTCAAAGCAATAAACGTTGGAATCAAGAAAAACAGGATCCTTCAAAACCATCAGACGTTGTATGACGGATGAGTAAGCATGTCCTGTTGACCGATTACAACCGGTATATGCTCTTGTCATCATCAGGAAAATTGGACGGATTCTTAGAAAATTTGGTGTAGAAATATAGGTCTTACAAAATCGAAAAAACATTCAACTTAATAATTGACTATGCTTACAATGCCATCGTGTCTACCATTGTACTTGCGAAATTACTTTAAGCAAAACTGTTGATTCTTTTGTAGTGGTACATTGTAACGTACTTGTGTATAACATTTAATCTCAAGATATAAACACAATCATAAAATTGCGTATTCTGAAAGTTAGATAAATATTTAGAAAATATATATTCAATACTTTATATTCAAACAGAATGAAGACAATTGCAGACAAAAATCATGTTTATGAATATAGAAAATGGCGATCCCTTTGAGATATGATCAAAAAACATGCCCCTGCAAAATGAAATATAATTCTTATTTTAATGTACGTCACATTTTGTACAAATAATCTGCATGCTCTAACGAGTTCTTAATAGTAGAAACGCACGTCATAGGAAACTCTCAGAACGTTGTATTTGTTAAAGACCTGCTCTTCTTATCAACAGATAATTATATTCCACCACACTTTCCATGCTTTCAAAGCATACTGAGGATCCTATATACCACGTGTTAAACTGACCCTGCATATCTAATATATCCCAAAGATAGCCACGATCTGCATCTTTGGGTGGGAACCTGGGAAAATAATATCCCCATTTTATTTGTTCTAAAATATGCGCATTTGTTTTATCAAATAGTCGCAAATGCGCCTGTAATTTTGACTGGATGATAAAACCCATTTCCTTTGTAAAAGGATTTTCAAAGCCATACTGTTGGTACATGACGGCTTCCTGCGGTCTTCCATTTGGGCCATTCTCTCGAATTCCAAGACGATGGGCATCACCAGTGATATTTTTCCTAGCTTGATAAAAATTTATACCTCCTTCCACAGAATATGGCGGCTCAATGCTTGTAGTGAAGTCCATATGTGGATCTTGGCCACGTCTTCCGTTGTCGGACTCGACCAACGACGCAATAATGTAGGAATTCACCAACGTGCTAAATATATTACGTTCCCTCAAATTGAAATCTACGATATCAAGTAAGGAGTTCATTGCTGGGGAAAGAATCAAAAAATCAAAACTCTCCTTAAAAACACTCGGGTCATTCTGTGATGAATATGTTATGTGAATACCTGAAGGCCCTTTTCTTCTTTGAATGTTTTTAATGTTAACTCCAAAATGTATATTTAATTGGTTTCGTTTGACAATCTCGGAAACAAGTCTCTGGAACCCTCCCCTAAGAAGCCACAATCCATTTTCAGGTTTGAAAGCAGCGTTTACTGCCTCGGGAGGAATCCACTTTAGTCCGTATATGGCTGAAATTTGATTGAGATTTCCGTATCCATTTTTTGACAAAGCAGTTTCGAAAATCGGTTCCAACAATAATAAATCATTACGTCGTAAGAAATCCAAGAAACTCCCTCGAATTTCATGGAGAATTTCGGGAACTGGTCGAGGCATGAGTTCACTGGAATAGTTTCCAAACAAACAGCGGTGAATTCTACCGTACTTCGCCAGAGCGGCTTGGACACGGCGGAGAGCTGCTTCTGGGGAGGTTTCTCCTGACCTTCTAATCAGGATAATCCTCAAGTTGGTGTCTTCTGCATTATGAAAAGAAATACTTCAATTATTGACCACAATCTAAATATGCAGTAACAGCATGTATTATTAGGTCCATTTCTTTATATACTTAACAAGAACAAGACCACTGATTAACATAATGAATACGTAACTGATAAAGAATTTTGTTGTCATCTGATTTGTTCATACATGTGTCGTACTTCAGAATATTAGGGAAATCATTTCGATATGCTCAGTTTGTTCTTGAATTGCCTATAGACTTCTAAAAGATTTATTTAAAATCTCAGTTACCAATAGAATAGCACATTTTATAGCATATCTCCTTAAAGCCGTGGTCATAAGTGCACCTAATCAATCTAAAAAGATATATCTTGAAAAAATAAAAAAGTAAGATAAAGTACTCACCAAAATCATTCTGCCAAATTGAAATGGGATTCTTGGCTACAATTTTGAATCCAGCATTATATCTCCCCAAAAGACTAACAATTTTATCATAGATTTCAGTCATAAAGGCTGCGCCAAAATCCTGCCACACGCCTCTGTAAAAACGAGAATAAGCTTTTCCTCCAACTTCTTGTCTTTGTTCAAAAATTTTGATATTTTTATATCCACGTTCCTGTGAAACATATAATCCAATTATTTCAATAAATAAAATGAAAAACGATACGTGGATTAAAACTTAATTGCGATAATAATTCTTTGAAAATTTCTAAGAGGAAAGAAGATGTCGTTTACACAAGGATCTCGGAACGTTTCTCTCGGAAAGATTATACATGTATAATCATTAACGTTTTTCATGTTAAATACCCTGATGTGAAATAGATGTGTCAGATATCTCTCTTGAAATTTATTATACTCATACTGAGACACCAGAGCATACCGGTGAAAACTGAAAAATTTAGACCTGAGGGATTTTTTTTATTTCAACTTCTATTTCTACTAGCTATGGAGATTTATTGATTTGATTTGAACATATTTTATTGTAATATAATTATTTATTCACTATATATTATCCAAAGGACCGGTGTTTATGTCCCCAGAGGGATCCATACTCGAGACGAGGAATCATCTCATTATTTCTCGACACTTAAGCAAATGCAATAAACCACTATAAAACGCACGCAGTCGAATGCAACTCTTTTAAAACAAATGAAAATATAACGTGAAAACAAAAACAAACAACAAAAAAAAAAACAAACAAACAAACATTGAGTCACACTTTTAATTTTTTTTTTCACTTTGTTTTGGTTTCTCGACTCATGTTCAGCAATTTTTAAATTTTTCTCCCATTAATTTTATTTTCTATGCTGAATTCACATAAGATTTTCGAAGAAATCTGAAAATCTGTAAAATAAAAAAAAACCTTTTTCAAATGTTTCTGGTAGAAATTTCCGGTAGGTATGAAAAAGTAAATGTTATTTGCTTGAATGTATAAAAAAGTTGAAGCAGGGTCATTTGTCAGCTACAACATAATTTGTAGTACACACAGGCATGCATTTATTGAAGACAACCTTAACAGCGTTTTAAAGTAATATTTCTTACTTTAACTTTACTTATTATAAGAAAAATGACTTCGGAAAAACACTAGACAAAACTAAAATAAAGCCTTAGTTCAAAAACCTTGAAATCATGTTCAGAAACCTTATAACGATCCACCCAGACCCGATCAACTCCGCTCTCCCTTTCCAGAAACCTATTCAAGACATTTTTGCATACCTTCAGTAAAGAAGCCATATGTACACCACCCATTCCGGCGCCTATAATAGCGATCTTATCGTTAACGGATCTTGGACCCTTAATCACTGGATATCCCGAAGACAGCCTCTAAAATTGAAATACAGGTGACAATTTAGTCTGCAATTAAACATCTGTGCTGAACTTGGATTTTTCAATGCTTGCATTACTTTTTATTATTTCATGACTATTTGCAATAATAGTTTTTAAACCAGTCTCAATATTTCAAGCATTGGACAAAAAAGATCTCATATCATTAAAACAATAAAAGTTTTCTTAACTTGAAATGAAATTCTAGAGAAAATTTAAGCTCATCACTTACTTTACTTCTTGTCTTTTGAGAAGTTTTCAATTTGTTTTCAAATATATTAATCTTTACAAAAAAAGGCAAAAAATACTGATCATTTTGACATCAATGTATGATGATTCAATGAAGAAGTATTGCAGAAAGCAATGGAACTGAACTTTCCTGAAATTGTTTCCATGTGATTGAGGAAATCTCTTGTTTGACATTATTATCATGAATGATAATATTTCTAGCCGTTTGTTTTCTCGAGCAACTCGGTATTTTTTGTACAATTTTATGCACTTTTTTATGCTTTGCACGTATATTACTAGTTGTTTGACAGGTTTCTATTGTCTTTTGATATCGGCAACTTTTCCTTATTTTATATGTTCCCGAATGGGCTAAATAATATTCTAAACAAAAATGCATCTATTAAGTTCATTGTTTTCGTCTTTTATTCAAGAGTGTTATGACCCACTTACCCTATTTGTGTGACATTGAAACTTTCTTGGAAATTCTCCATACCCTTTAACTTTATAAGCTATTCCAAGTATACTTAAAACAGTTACAAAAGAAAACATCTCTTCTTGTCAACCATATGTTTAGCGACACTGCTGAAAGTACATGTAGTATGAGTCAAATCACACATTCTGTCATATCAAACATCGGGATCACTAAATGTCATTTATATCAAGGCCAAGGGATTCCCTCTATTTTGATGAGTTCCTCATCAAAATCCTTTTTTTATCAGAACGGCCAATTTTGTTCTGCTGTTATTTTCAAGCATTCGTTGAAAATAAAACGGCACCCACAACATTCGATCACAGAATATGTGTTATACAACAATGGCGACGTATCATCCTTATGCCATTAGCTTATTAAAAACCTACACTCTTGAACCATTTCGTTAAAGTCGCTTAATCCGAAACAGGCACATATTATCTTACGCAATAAAAGTTCGACATTACATAGAAAATATAGAGAAATAAATTATGAGATTGATTTAATAGATTATTACTACAATCCTTACAACGAAAAACTTAATCAAAAACCTTATTGACAAAACAGAAGTTCCTGACAGGAAGTTAAGGTCTGTTGTGAAGTCACCTTGGAAAAAAATAAATTCATCGGTTTTATCTTATTATGAAGTTAATTCAAACCCGAGTATTTTTTTTTCAATAGTAGAAGCCAGAATATATCTTTTAAAAATTAAGGAATTAATTGAATATAATCCATAGTAATTTTTATTTTAACAATAAAGGAAAATCAGATATTTATTTTAAAGGAGTTTAGTAACGCAGGCTAATATATTGTCCGTGTACAGGTATAAGTTCTTTTTGTGAAAATAAAATGCTCGGGTTTGTTCTTCATGAGATATACATGTAAGCGTTAATTTTAATTTTAGAAGGTGATTTCACGCAATATCAACAAAGGATTATTTATTGTGTGACCTAACAAAAATTATTTTTTTAACTTTTGAATTTTGATATCTTTTAAAAGAAAAAGACGTTGGGGATATAATTTGACAAAAGTTGAAACAATTTGTGGACAAATATTTTTCAAGAAGAAAAACGAATATATTTTTTTGTGATTAGAATCGGACCAAGCGGCTTTAATAAAACATATCAGGGCTAGTTTAAAAGTTATATTTAAAGATAAGGGTTTCGGTGATTTTTATAAACTTGTCTGTAAATATTAAGTATCGGAGTAAGCATGGTAAGGCCTGTCTCATAAGCAGACAAGCAAGGGGCTGCAAATTTATACCTTAATTTAGCACCTAAGGCCATTTAGCAGTGAGGGTTCTTTTTTGTGCCAACACCTTCTGCGACATGGGCCTGGGTTTACCATTCTCCACGCCCCGCAGTGGATCCGAATATGAGGCCTAGGTTAATACGGTCTCATCCGAAGGTCCCGCAGTGGATTCGAACCCGAGACGTAAGGATCAACTCCCTACTTCTCGACTCTAAAGCAGACGCTCTAACCACTGCGTCACCCTGGCGAACAGACGTCAAGTGTATTTTTCTTCAATTTGGCTCTTGAAGTTTTGTTGCTTCTTTAAATAGCTTAAACTTTTGAGAATTGTTGGGATGACAACATTGAATCATTTTCCAGGTGAGGGGCTCCAAACTTAGACTTACAAGAACTCTGCAGTATTTACATGTACCGCTGAGCAGTGAGGGATCTCTTTAGTGCCAACATATTTTTCGACAGTGGACCTAAGTTTTTACTTTACTTTATTTTGTTGTCCAAAGATCCCCGAAAGTCTTGATAATTTACTCTACTTGATTTCAATAAATCTACACTGGCGTGAGCTTCTTCGAATTCACAAGCTCAAATGAATAATATTTATGAATTTATTTATCTTAAATGTTGCTTTTTAACGGCATTGGTACACTGTATGATAAGCTGTTTACAAATGGTTTTAATGTACTTTTCTTATTTATAAAGGTATTATTCTATAAATTTCAGAATGTATTTTCAAGTTGCTGTCAGAAAAATAAAAGTCATTAACCTATCTACCTACCCAAATTAAGAATTTAGGGTCGGGTTATGAGAAACAAACATATTTTTAATAATGGCCTTAACCTGTTCTTTCTAAAGAGTACTTAGGCCGATATGTGATTCATCAATTTTCTTTGTTTGTAATATGTACATTGTAAATATTTTTTAAATACTGATGATTAGGAATTGAAATTTTTTTAAAAAGTTTTATCTTGTTTTTTTTTCTACTGTTACGAAACGTTTTTACATAGATTTTTAGAGCTAAAACTTTAAAAATACATGTAATGTCTAGAATTGTCCTATTTTCCAAGAGAATCTGTATTGCATTAGTGTAAGTCACCAACATTATGATACATTATGTACATTTAGCAGATTAGAGATTTCTGTAAATGTTCTAATTATAAGTATATATTTACATCCAATGAATATTTTTTTCCTTTATTTCTAAATAAAACCTTAGTCTTTTATCAATTTATGAACAACAATAGTAGTATGTTGATGGATTCTCAATTTCAAATTTAATGTAGTATTCATTTCCTTAAAATCAAACATCCAGTGGATAAACATGAGAAAAGAATGAGTTCACTTTTGTTCGTCATTCGGAATCTTTTGGGCTAAGTATCCATTTGAAGCTTTACATAGCAATATATCGCTAAATAAATCTTTGATTATTATGCAAGCATATGCTTGAATTTTTTGTCATATATATTTCTATAATCACAGACAATGTCATTGAAAAGAGCACGTATAAGCCTAAATTTTGGAAATTTGAACTGGACCACTTTTGAATTTAAGCTAAAAATAGGCGGAGACATTCAAATCACATGGATGTGGAATGTAAACATTAGCACATGTGATTTTTAAGCAATCAGAATTCTAAACATGGATTTAAATGAAGAGGAGAGATTGTGTAGTTTCAGGGTGCACAAATAATAAATGATTCTAGTGTTTAAGGATGGGGTAGATGTCTCTCCCCGCAGACTATAATACTGAGGCGACATTTGCTTGTACTTACTTATCACAAAGACAATACCAGAATTCTTTAAAAACACCCCGAACAAAAATTAATAAGTAAAATAATAGACATATGATCTTCAGACATTCAAACCCTATTAATTTTTTTGCGAAAGTCTTCAAAGATTGAGGTAGGTAGTACGATAGACACTATCACAATAGAAACTTCCAATGACAAACACAATGAAACCTTCCGTGAAAGAGTTCGCTTATCGAACAGTGGAATGTCACGTGAGTAAAGTGATTAAAATACTGAATATATCAATCTTGTACCATAGTGATTTCTTTTGTTAAAAGTGTGGGTTTTCTGTACATAACCCCACTTTTCTGTAACTCCGCCCATCGAGTCAGGACAACAGAACTTTAAAAGCATGCACATGTACATCTCGCAAGCCATGGGTTTTGCGTCCATTCTACATTGTATTTCCACAAAGTAGAATGGACACAAACCCGTGGTTTGTGACAATGGCACATGTACAAAATGAAACTATCATCCGGGCTTGTTATACCAAATTCAGGAGAGTAAAAAAGAATAAAAAATTATCAATTATAGACAGCATTCTATATGTAACCATTAACAATTAAAAACGGGCATTATGATTAATACCTTGACTTTCGTTAAAATATGAAGGAAAAAAATTCTAAATAGTGTATGACCAGGGTGAGATTCCAATATCTTTCTTTTGATTTCTTCGGATGAGGCATAAAAAAAAAAGTTTACATGTATACACTACTGTACTTAAATAAAGTTTTCGATTGCGAATCTAGCCGATAAAGATCTAATTTTCATGAAGTTGAAATATACACTATCCCTAACAAACATTTCAAACAACGTACCACTCTGGCACGACAACGTATGTATCGGGTTAAAAAAATTAACTAACTTCATAATAGCTTTAAATTATTTGATTTTGACGTTTGAAATTTACGAGAAAAAAAACGTATCAAATCAGCATTACAATCTGATTAAAATCAGATCCTCGATCCGCTCCTTTATTTTTTTTAGTCGCTACACGAGGATCAGATCCTCGTGTACCGACCATAAAAAAGGAACAGATCGAGGATCTACTTTAATTCAGATTGATCAACATAAATATCTAACTGAAACCAAATTCGTTAATTTTTCAATTACATAAATCAGACAAACTTTTAAAACGGACTTGGATATATCTAATTTTTATGATGCCTGCGTGTCCCATTGGTTACATGTAGAGCGCCTGTCCTAGAGTCGCCAAGTAAGGAGTCGAATTCCATTTTGGGACGTGGAGACGAGACCGGTCCTTCGGATGAGGCCGCATAATCTAAGGTCCCGTGTCGCAGAAGGTGTTGGCACGAAGAAGATCCACTGCTTAATGTCCTAATTAAGTGCCGAGTATAGGACAGAATTTGTAGCTCTCCACCGGCAAGAAGTGGCAAAATGAGTGAAAAATTCCCAAGAAGACCGTTAAACAACATACAATCAATATTTTAAAAGTACTGTATGTATAGTATATATATGTCACTTACCCGATGGACGTGGTGATAATGATAAGGACCCGAGGGAGCGTAAATCATTTAAAATCCAAATGTATCATTGAAACCATATTTTTATTCTTTCAATCACATGAACCAGTCCGACTAATTCCTAAGCTGACTTATGAATGATTTTGAAAACTATGATACAAGTTTTTTACCTCATATAATATTGTTGATTATGTGCAGATACCCTCGAAGCCATGTGATATATGAATGATATATTTCAAAGTAAAATCGCACATATAGAGGGTCCATTAAGTTTTGCATAAGTCCTTTTACTTTTAAAATATATATGCTTTCCAAAAAACTTCAGAACTGCATCTCTCTGCTTGAGAAAATTTGAACATTAAAGCAGAGAGCTATACAGATGTATGCATTCTTTAAAAAAAAATTCGATCTACGCCATCGATTTTTCGTCGCTCATTTCAGGTATTATTTCTGTCAATTTATGCTTTCCCTCACTTTTAGAATGGTATCAGATAATTACTCGTATATTTTATATACTTTTATCATTGATACCTTATCTACCTTTGAACGGTCCGAAATCGTCCTTTATGGTTCTGGAATTTCGGTTTTTAAAAAAAATCCCATTTTTTTATCTCTTACTAAAGACAGCTTTTTGGAACCGTTGATGGGTAAATAAAATATCAGGTTAGGAAACAATTATGGCCAATGATCGGATACCATATTTAAAGCTTAAGAGAGCATAAAATATCAGAAATAATACTCGAAGATAGCCAAAAAAATTGTCGGCGTAAATCGAAGGTTTTTACAATGCTTGGATCTGTATCTCTCTGATTTATCAGTCCGAATTTTCTCAAGCAGAGAGCTACAGTTCTGCAGCTACTAACCAACGGTATCAAATCTGAATT